GCGGACGAGCTCGAGTTCGAGGGAACACTCGAGCAGGTAGCGGTGACCGCGGACTTCACCGTGGAGGCGGCGCGGCGGCCGCTGAGGGAGCTTGTGGACCAGGCAGTGGCCGAGGAGCCAGCGCAAAAGCGGCGGAGGGCGCTCCATGGCCGCCCTGGATGGTCCATGCTGGAGGACGCCGTGGCGAACCGCGTGGCGGCGGCCAGCCGAGAGGTGCCCGAAACCCCGCCGCCGCCGGGGGCCCGTGTGATGGCGGGGGTCCGCTTCGCGCGGAGGTGCCGCGCAGCTGCGGAAGAGAGCCGTCGCTGGTAGGAGGGACGAGACATCTATTTAGGACCCCATTGTGGAGGCTTCTATCGACATGGATATGGAAGGAATGGAGGCGAAGACTGACATCAGTCCCTGTCCATTTTGGATAGGGCTCGCTGTCGGGGCCGCCGCGGGCGTTGTCCATTCGAGACAGGAGGCCGTCTGCCCGACAGCGGCTAATGTCTGTCTTGAGAAACACTCAGTGCTGGGTATCTTATAGATTTTCCCCGTGCGTATTTCGGGCGTCCGCAGTCAGCGTCGTTCAACCTATCCCCATCCCCGACTGGGCACGGGATCTCCGCCCCACCGTCCCGCGCCTTTTGTTGGGGAGAGGCGCCTCGAAGCCCTAATGGGACGGCCCGTGTCCCCATCAGGGGGGGGGAAATCGGCCAGTGGGGCCAAGGCCACGCCAGTGAGGATAGTCGGCCACGCGCAGAAGGGGGGTATGGGGGAGGGGGAAGGCTTTTTAGAAACACCCTGCTTATTAGAAGGCGTGGGCCTTGTCTGAGCCAGCGCCTTATAACCAGCAGGCTCTTTCTAAAAAGCCTTCATCCTCCCCCCTGCCCTTCGTGCACGCTGCTTAACTCGGAATCGGATCAACGATGCTCACGAAGAGGTGGCCGAGGGGGTGAAGCAGGGCCTCCTGCGACAGCTGGCCAGCCACGGCGCGGCGCAGGCGCAGGGCGAACTGCGGGGGTCAGCGAGGTAGTCGGCCGAACAGTCGGCCGAGTGGGCGACATGTCGGCTACACGCAAGATTGACCTTCTGAAGGGATGATTTTCTGTGCGGGCACAGTGGGGCCCCCAGGCGGCTAAATGCGATGCGATAGCAACGGCTTGCGCGGTCTGGTTTGGCCTCCCCGCGGCCCCCGCATCAAAGGTCACTCTTGCCCAGGGTCACTCTTGCGTGTAGCCGAGCATCCTGCGGCATTCGGCCGACCTGAGGGCCGAGGCGGATGCGGCGGCCAGGTGCTTGTAGAAGCCGAGCCCTCCTTCGCGGGTCAACGATTCAGCGGGCAACTCGATGGGCCGCGGGGGTAGGGTTCGGAAATCGTCGAACACGTGGCAAATTCCAAACCCTACCCTGGCCTCCCATCGATTCAGGAAAATCGATAGTTGTTGGTCGGATTTGGATGCCGCCGACTAAGGAGGCCACGGAGGAGAGAGAAGGACTCCTGCGGCAGTCTGCCGATCTGGGGGCCGATGCGGACGCGGCGGCAGTGGGCTTGCAGCAGGCCGCGGAGGAGAAGGAGGGGCTCCTGCGGCAGCCGGCCGATCTGAGGGCCGAGGCGGACGCGGCGGCCAGGGGCTGCAGGAGGCCGCGGAGGAGAAGGAAGGGCTCGTGCGGCAGTCGCCCGACCTAAGGGCCGAGGCGGACGCGGCGGCCACGTGCTTGCAGGAGGCCGCGGACGAGAAGGAAGGGCTCGTGCGGCAGTCGTCCGATCTGAGGGCCGACGCGGACGCGGCGGACTCGCAGGAGGCCGCGGAGGAGAAAGAGGGGCTCCTGCGGCAGTCGGCCGACTGTAGGGCTGAGTTGGAAAAAGACGGCCAGGGGCTTGCAGGAGGCCAGCGAGGAGCTGGATGGCTTCCCGCGGCAGTCGGCCGACCCGAAGACCCTGAGTGCCGAGCTCGATGCGGTGCGGGGGCAACTTCGCAAGGCGCAGGAGGAGCGCCAGGGCCTCCTGAAGAGGTCGGCCGAGCTCGGAGGCCAGCGGGGAGCGGCGTGGCGCCAGGTGCAGGAGTCCCAGGATGAGTGCCAGGCCCAGGAGCGCGCCGTGGAGGCGCAGCGGGCCGTGGGTTGCGCGGCCGAGCTGTCCGCAGAGGCCGTGGAGCAGGAGGTCACCGTGCTCTGCAGCGAGGCGGCAGCACTCGGGCTGCGCAGGACGGCCTCGGAGAAGGCGGCCGCAGACCTCATCGTCAGCCGCGGGGCCGCCGGCAGAGAGGTCGAGCGCCCGGCCGCGGATGCGGCCGAGCTGGTGGCGGCAGAGCAGGACGCCTCGCGGCGGGGGGGGGCAGCCTGCGCTCGCCAGCCAGGATGCGCAGCACAGCGTGGGGGCCGCCGCTGCAGACCCGCAGCGCGCCCGCGCGCGCCGACGAGCTGAGGGCCGAGGGCCAAGTGATTAAAGACCCCCCCGCCCCCTATAGTTGGCGCTTACTAAATGGCCCTGGGCATTTTCTAAGCAGCCCTGCCCCGTTGGATTCATTCCTTCCTCTCGGGTGCGTTTTCTGACGCCTTAACCTGTCGGGGTGCTAATGAAGAGTTTGTTTTTTTCGTTTTGTTTTTTCTCTGCTCTCTAGAGGAGGATGGCCTGATATCAATGGTGGAGCACGCCGAGTCGGAGGTCGAGCGCCTCCAGCGCAAGGCCGGGGAACTGCGCGCGAGGCGCTTGGCGGTGCTGCAGCTGGTGCGGCACCTCAGCGCGGCCAGCGCGGGGGACCAGAGCGGGCCCGAGGAGGTCGAGGCGCGGCTGGCCTGCGCCCTGCTCCTGGGGCTGCGGCGCCTGGAACCTCGGCAACGCTCGCCCTCTGCCTTGGGCTCGGGGCTGACCCTCCGAGGAGCCCGCGGGAGCGCCGAGCGCACGCAGCGGCGCCTCGGCGGCTTCCGGCGCACCCTCCCGCGCCGCGAGGGGCCCGTCCGCATGGCGCCGCGCCGCCTCGGGGCACGCGAGCCGCTCCGGAGCCCAAGCTCGCTTCGGCGCCGGGCCGGCGCACCGCCCAGCGGGTGCCTCTCGGAGGAGCCCCGAGGTCCTGGTGCGCGAGTCGAGGAGGCCCTGGTCCGTGTCGGAGGATGAGGCTGCTGAGCTGCTGGCCATGCGCGCTACGGACGCGCAGGCCCTGCTGTGATGGGCCTGTATTCCACCACCACCACCATAAGTTGGAGGGGGGAGGAGAGGATGGAGGAGGAGGAGGAGGAGGAGGGAGGGTTGGAGGAGGAGGAGGAGGAGGAGGAGGAGGAGGAGGGGAGGAGGAGGAGGGGAGGAGGAGGGGAGGAGAGGAGGCGGAGGAGGAGGAGGAGGAGGAGGGAGGAGTGGAGGAGGAGGAGGAGGAAGAGGAGGCCCCCCTCCACCTCCAACTTATGGTGGTGGTGGTGGAAAACAGGCCCATCATGCTGGCGGCCGCGCAGCGGACTGGTTCAGCTTTCCTGTCTCGGAGGGGGGGCTCTGGGCTCTGGGTTTTGTGCGTTCGGCAGGAGGAAGGGGTGGCAGCATCAGCGCCGCATCGCCGCGGGGCTGGCCGGAGGGCCCCCGTGCGGGAGCCGCGCGTGGTTTGTGCTGCCTCGGTCTCCTCTGCCTCCGCCGCCTCCGCTTCTTCTTCCTCCACTCGAGTCTCCTCCGGTTCCCCCCCCTTGCCGCCTCCGCTTTCGCCTCCGCCTCAGCCCCCCTGTGGGTTGTGTCCACCACGCGAATGCCAGATCGGACTGCGAGTCGAGATCCTTGCATGCGCAAGCCCTCTCGTTCCCTTTTGATCCCTTCCCTTCCATTCCGTTCTCTCCTGCTACCTCCTCGTCCTTGCCCTTAGCCTGTCAAGTGCTGGGCACGCGCAGAGAGGCTGTGGGTGGGCTTGTTGTGATTAGGAGACCGCCCCTGGCAATGTCAAAGTCCTGTGCGCTTGCAGTGCGCAATGTATTCGCCTGTCTCCTCCGCTTTTCCGCTTTCGGCAGCGTGTAGCGGCGAGTATGTAGTAGTTTAGGTCGACTATCTGTTGACGGCTGCGAGTAGCTCGAAGAGCGAGCGCTACTACCGAAAAGGCTAGAAGTACCCACGGACCAGGAACGGAATGCAAGTGAAGCTTTTTCCTGGAAATTTTGCCATAGGCTAGTCTGCCAGACTATGGTGTACCGCGACCAAACTATTAAGAAATGCCCCAGCGGGGAGTGGTCGCAGCGCCCCACTGGGAAGTGGGTGATTAAACGAATATTTCAGGTTCGCCGTCGTCGTCGTCGTCGCCGTCGAGGCCGCCAGACCGCAGCCAGGGGCCCAGTCGATAACTATATTTTCTTTGCATCATCTCCGCGAGTTTTTTCGTTGGTCTGGGGATGCATTCGATTGGTCGCATTAGTACGGCATGCTATGCTGCGCTGCTTACTGTGCTACGCTGTTTGGGGGGCGGTCCGTGTGTGTTCGCCTGAGGCTTTATCACGATGCCGCCATCGGGCCTGATGGGGCCTCCCGGGGATTCCTGGGGCCTGTCCTCCTTGGGCCTCCTGGGGCCTGTTTTTCGCTGGCCACGTCGCGTGCCAAACTTTGGCAAAATACCTGGCCTTTTATCCACGGGGGTCGAAATCAATGTGAACTGGCCGTCGCTGCGCTGGGAGCCGAGGGATGATGATGCTGCTGATGATGATGATGATGATGATGATGATGATGATGATGATGATGATGATGATGATGATGATGATGATGATGACGATGACGATGACGATGACGATGACGATGAGGATGACGATGATGCTGATGCTGATGCTGATGCTGATGCTGATGCTGATGATGATGATGAGCAGCAGCAGCAGCGGCAGTTTCAATACCAGCAACAACAAGAAATGGCAAGCAATAACCATACGAAGGCTGAGATCGCACATCGCTCTCTCTTCCTTTTTTCCCGACATTCACTGCCCTCGCCTCCTCTTCAACGATGCAGCTCCTCCTCTTGCTCCTCCTCCTCTTCCTCGATCCTCCTCATCTTCCTCCACCCGCCCTCCCCTCCTCTTCTCCCCTCCTCCCCTCCTCCCCTTCCGCCTCTTCCATTCCTTTTCCTAGAAGCAACTTCTCCCTGTCGCACTCCGAGACGTGTTAGGAGGGGCGGGCGGGGCGTTTCGCCTGAGACAGCCTCACCATCCATGCTTCTGAAGCCGAAGACTTGCAAGAGCTTCACGGATGGAGGGCATGTGGTTCTCACAATGTGGTTTTCGCTTTAGCGCCGCGCACATGCGTTGTAAAAGTTCGAGAGAGCTTCGCGGATGGCGGGCGGGCCGCTTTTCAGAATGTGGCTCTCGCCTCAGCGCCTCGCACATTCGTCGTAAGCGTTTGCAAGAGTTCCGCGGAGGGAGGGCGGTTGGTTTTCAAAATGTGCCCCCCCGCCTTAGCGCCGCTCGCAATCGTCTTAAAAGTGTTCAGGAGTTTCGCGGGTGGAGGTTCAACATGCGTCTCTCGCCTTAGCGCCGCGCGCATTTGTTTTTCTTTCTCAGTTTTGCAATGTATTCGCAGATGAAGGGCGACTCCTTTTCAACATGTGGTTCTCGCCCTAGCGCCGTGCATATTCGTTTTCAGAGTTCTCAGCAATTTCAAGGATTCTTATGATGGACGTCCCAGAAGTTGTGTTTTGACACGGTATAGGATTGTCAGGTCGCAACAGTCATGTTGATTCGAGGTGTTGAAGTCCCAGGAATGGTGTTCTGGCAATATGCAGGGTCGTCAAGACGCAGCAGTAACGTACAGTGACGTCCCAGGAACTGTTTTTAGACACGGCTCAGGGTTGCCAAAACATTGGTTCTGAACGGGGAATGGCAATACATCTTTGTAGGGCCCTATGCAAGGGGAGTTTGGAGGGAGGGATTGTTGCAACATCGTTGGTGAATCTTGGGTTTGCATGGTCCCTCTCCTCCTCCTCGCCTTCCTCCTCCCCCTGCTCCTCCTCCCCCTGCTCCTTCTCCTCCGCCTCTTCCTCCGCCTCCTCCTCCTCCTCCCCCTCCTCCCCCTTTGGACTTGCAGGAAGCGTACGCCCCCTACTGAGCCACCACCACCACCACCTCCCCCTACTCCTCTTCCTCCTCCTCCTCATCTCATCCTCCTCCTCACCTCATCCTACTTAATCTCATCCCCATCATCCTGGTTTTTCCACTCCTAACCTTCTAAACCTGCCCACACTTCCTCCCTCCCACTTCACTATTTCATCCTCCTCCTCCTTCCTCCTCCATGCGCATCCTAATACATACTCCTCCTCCTAATAATACTACTCCTCCTACTCCTCCTCTCATCCTACTCCTCCTTCCTCCCAATTCCGATCCCCCTCCTCATACGGCTCCGCCTCATCTCCTACATCCTTCCTCATTACACACCTCACTCCTCCTCCTCCTACTAGCAATCACTCCTCCTTCTCTTTCTCTTCCTCGAGGCCGCCAGAGGACAAGGCGGCCTTTGGCCGACGGCCGCCGGCGGGCCGCGCCGCGAGCGCCGAGGCTCCAGCGGTGCCTGCAGGCGCTGGTGGAGGCGCTGCAGCGGGACTTCCAGAGGCACCTGAGGAGCCGCGGGGCTTCCAGAGGCACCTGAGGAGGAGGAGGAGGAGGAGGAGGAGGAGGAGGAGGAGGAGGAGGGAGCCGAGGAGGATAAGTGGAGGAGGAGGAGAGGAGGAGGAAGGAGGAGGAGGAGGAGCGGGGAGGAGGAGGGGGAGGAGGAAGGAGGAGGCGGAGGAGGAGGCGGTGGAGGAGGAAGAGGAGGAGGAGGAGGGGGAGTAGGAGGAGGATGGTGATCCAGAGGAGGAGGAGGAGGAGGAGGAGGAGGAGGAGGAGGAGGAGGCGGAAGAGGATGATGATTATAATGATGATTCTAATGATGATTCTGATGATGATGATGATGATGATGATGATGATGATGATGATGATGATGATGCTGATGCTGCTGCTGCTGCTGATGATGATGATGATGCTGCTGATGATGATGATGATTATGATGACGATGACGATGACGATGACGATGATGATGATGATGATGATGATGATGCTGCTGATGATGATGATGATGATGATCATGATGATGATGATGATGTCTGATGGATGATGATGATGATGATGCTGCTGCTGGATGATGATGATGTGGTGATGATGATGGTGAGATGATTGAGATGATGATGATGATGAGATGATGATTGCACTGAGATGAGGATGTGATGATTGATGCTGATGATGATGATGATGATGATTGATGATGATGATGATGATGATGATGATGATGATGATGATGATGATGGATGATAGGCTGATGGCTGAATGATGCTGATGCTCGATGATGATGATGCATGATGATGATGATGGATGATGATGATGACGACGACTGATATGATGAGGAGGAGGACAGGAGGAGGAGGAGGAGGCAGGAGCGGAGGAGGAGGAGGAGGAGAGAGGAGCGAGGAGGGAGGAGGAGGAGGAGGAGGAGGAGGAGGAGGAGGAGGAGGAGGAGGAGGAATAGGCTTCTCTGGGGCCTTTTCCTCCTGGATCTCGGATGAGGCCTCTCGGATCTCGGATGAGGCCTCTCTGGGGCCTCTTGGAGAGAGTTTTGATGCCTCTTGGGAGCCGTTTTGGAACCCCTTGGGGCCTCTTTTGGGCCTCTTAGGGGCCTCTTGGGGCCTCTTAGGGCCTCTTGGGCCTTGGGGGCCTCCTGGGTCCTCTTGGGCGCCTCTTGGGACCTCCTGGGGTCCTCTCCGGGCGGAAAGTTGAATATCAGTGTTAGTGCCCCCTCGCTTGGGCCCTGGGGCCGCCTTGCGGCCCTCTTGGGCCGTCTTGGGCGCCTCTTGGCTCGTCTTGGGGCGCTCGTCGGCCGTTTGGGGCCCTCTTGGAGGCCTCTTGGGCTTTTTTTGAGTGGTTTTGGGGGCTTCTTGGGGCGTCCTGGAGCGTCGGGACGCCGAAAAGGCAGGAGCGCCAAAATCTTCAAAACACTTTATGGAAATCAGCGACTTTTGCCTCTTGCGGTCCTCTTGGGAGGCCTCTTCGAGACCTTCGTGACCGTCTTGGAACCGTCTTGGAGGCTTCTCGGGCCGTCTTCGGGCCATTTTGCGCGTCTTCGGGCGATCTTGGGTCGACTTGGGGTCCTCTTTGACCATTTTGGCGGCCTCCTGGAGCCATCTGAGTCGTTTTGGGGCCTTCCTGGGTGGGGTAAGCCGACGCGAGCGATTCTGGCGGATCCATGGCGGGCCCGGGCCGGCCCAAGAAAAGATTGGTCCAGGTCCTGATAGAGTTACAGTTCTGGCTGCAGCAGCACAGCCCTTTCAGTGCTGCATGGGCCTTGGGGCACTCCACTTCCTGCCAGGGGCACGGTGGCGGATTTTTCAATGTCGAAATGCGTCCCAAGGGATGACGGGAAGCGCCCTTGGCGTGGACCGTTTATTGTTCGTAGAAATACATGATGACGTACAGGGCGCATTTTGAAAACACGCTGGTGGATTTTTGAAAAATAGCTGCTTCGCTGGAGCTATCCTCCAAACATCGGCCCAAGAGGGGACTCCGAATCGACGTCGTGTTCGAATCGCTCTTGGAGGGCTTTCCAACGGCCCAAGGGAGGCCCAAAAGACGTCCCGGAGAGCCCCAGGAGCGCCCAAGAGCGCCTCAAGAAGACCCCAAGAGACCCCCAAGAGCGCTGTAGGAGCCACCCAGACAGCTCACAAGAACCCCAAGACGGCCCGAGAAGGGCCAACAAGGCCCCAAGAGACTCCCGGGAGCGCCCCAGGAGGCCCCCAAACGGCCCGAGAAAGCCGCAAGACGGCCCGAGATGGCGCCGCGACGGCCTAAGAAAGCTCTCACCGAACCCCACGACGCGGAACCCCACGACGCGCCCAGACAGCCCAATAAGACTTCAGAAGCCCATAAGAGGACCCAAGGGGCCCCCAAGAAGCCCCCAACAGGCCCCAAGACAACCCCGCGCGGCGCCAGGAGCAACGTCTTTCTCCAATTGCCTCTTACTGTCCTTTGTCGTCGTCGTCGTCATCGTCCTCCGCATTCCTCCTCGTACTCGCCCTCGTTCTCTTCCTCCTCGTCCTTGTGCTTCTCTTCCTCCTCGTTGTCCTCATGCTCCTCCTCGCTATCCTCACGTTCGCCACGTCGTCCTCGTCATCGACTCCTCGTTGCCCTCGCCTTCCTTTTCTTCTTCGCCCAATACGCCCATTAGCCTAAAGCGGCGCTTCCCATTCTTGTCCGATCAGGCTTTTCCATGTCGCAAGGCGTCCCCAGGAATTCTGAGAACCCCAGCATCAGTTGCAGCAGTGGAGCTAGAACAGAGGCAGTTTATCCTTAATTATCACTTGGGAAGTAGACGACGGACTCGAGATGGCCATATCGCTCGAGACATCCTCCAACAATCGGCCCCCGCGGATTTCTGCAAAATTGCCGTCCTCGCCTTCTTCTTCTTCTTCTTCTTCTTCGCCCAGTGCGCCCATGAGACGTAAAGCGGCGCTTCCCGCTCTCCTTGTCCGACCAGGTGGTCGAGAAGGCCGCCCTGGAAGCCTCGGGCCGGGGCGGCAACACCCCGAAGGCAGCCGGGCAGCCGTGGGTTCTCCCGCGCGCGTGGGAGCTTCTCCAGCCCCTCCCGCGCACCCGGCGCGTGCTGCGCGCCGCCTGCGCGGCGCCCCGGCGAGGCTGCCGCACGGCGCACCGCGCACAGCGCCCGCGCGCTCCTCGCCGCGTGGTGCGGCGTGGCCGCCGCTGCGCTCGGCGGCGCCCCGCCCCGAGCGAGCCCGCTCCTGGCGAGGCGCCTCCCCGCGGGCGGCGCGCCTCCGCGCTCCGACAGCAGGCTGGCCGTGTCCCGAGGGCCCTCGCGGTGGCGGGTCACCGGCGCCACGCCGTCCTCGAGGTCGTCCTCACGTTCTCCACGTGGTCCTCGTCATCGCCTCCTCGTCGCCCTCGCCTTCCTCTTCTTCTTCTTCTTCTTCTTCTTCTTCGCCCAGTACGCCCGTTGAGCGAAAGCGGCGCTTCCCGCTCTTGTCCGATCAGGTCACCAGTGCCAGACCGTCCTTAAGATTGCCCACCGGACCATCCGGAAGATGATCTTGGACGATCGGCGCATCTTCCTGCATGCGGTGGCGTGGCGCGCAGCCCGCGCCAAGAGCGAGGGGATCTGCAGCGAGGATTTTTCCTTCGCATTGTCGGGCTGCTGGGGGGGTTCAAGCCCCGCGCTGCAGAAAACATCGCCACGAAAGACGGAACGCTCACTCGAACGCCGGAGGAACGTGCCCAGAGGTGGGTGGAACATTTCGTGGAGCTTTTCGCGAGCTCCACGCAAGCATCGTGAAGGGATACAAGTACGCCGCATTGCGGCCCGGTCCCCTGCGGCAGCTTCGACCCGACGCTCGAGCAGATCGAGGCCAGGGTCGCGAAGCTGCACCGCGACAAGGCTGCTGGGCCTGACGGCACCCGCCAAGGGTCGTCAAGGCAGGAGGCTGCGCCATCTCCATCCTCATCCGCTCCGTGCTCTGGTCCACTGTGGAAGCCACGAAGCAGCCTGCGAGGTGGAAGGAGGGCCGAATGGCCAAGCCCTGGAAGCGAGGAGGGTCCCCAGCCGAGTGCGGCAACCATCGTGGGCTCCTTGTAGCTGGCACGATGTCCAAAATCCCGACTGGCCTCATCAAAGACAACATCCGGCAGGCTCTGGAGGGGCACCTGCCGCAAAGCCAGCACGGAGGACGCGCAGGTAGAGGGACCGACTTCCCGGCCCACACGCTGAGGATGAAGTTGGAATGCTTGCTCGCGGCCTCCATGTCGGTCGCGACCATTTTTTTCGACCTGCCGCAGGCCTTCGACAGGGTTGTCCGTCAGATGGTCTTCGGATGGGAGGCGGCTGATGGCCCTTCCCATGCACTCGATGCTTCGAGAGTGGGTTACCTGCTAAGTTTGGGGCTGAGCATGCACACCGCCTTGCACATGGTCGCGCATGTTGCCTCATCGGGAGCCGCGCTCGACCGCTGGAAGGTGGACCTCGCCGTCACCGCGCTCATCAGGACCTTGCATAAAGATGCTTGGCTTGCAGTCGAGGGCACGGGCGAGGTGGTGGTCACCGCCAAGGGCGGCCGCCAAGGCTGTGAGCTGGGCGGCTACATTTCCGGCGTCGTCTACGAGAAGGCCGTGAGCAGGAGAAGGGCTCGTCTACGAGCTGCCAGCATCTTCCTGACCTTCAAATCTGACGATGGCAGGCCGCTTTGGACATCTGCAGACGAGGCCGCCGACGAGGACCTGATCATCGAGGTCAGCCTCGTCGACGACGACGCCGTCGCTATAGCCACCGGGTCGCCGTCGGAACTGCTCGCCGGCATCACAACCGCCCTGCCTATGACGAGAGCTTCCGCGCCTTTGGCTTAAATATCAATTGGCGGAAAGGGAACAGCGAAGCAATCGCCCACTGCCGCGGGAAAAGGTCCACCAGAATGCTCGACAAGCTTAGGTCCGACCAAGGTCTCAGAATATAGCTGGCGGATGGCGAGACGTTCATGCACGTCGTCGCGCAGTACCAGCACCTCGGCGGCATCGTCGCCTCCAGCGGGAGCTTAGGGCCCGAAGTCAGCCGCCGGGCCTCATCAGCTTTGTCGGCGTACGTCCCCATAGCACGAACGATTTTTGGATCTAGTTGAACCAATTTTAAAATTCGATTTGATTGGGAACTTGATCATCTCACGGCTCACGGCTGTGATACAACGTCTGCCCGTGGACCGTGACAGTTCCCGCACTCTGGAAGCTCAACGCCCAGTGTATGAAGATCTTGAGGCGGATTTTGGGCGATACCATTCACGAGGGGACCCCGACGTGGGCGGACCAGGAGATTCGTGTCAAATTGAGCCAAAACTTTATTGATTGTCGGACTCTCATCAGAAGGCTCAAATACTACTGACGACTTGCGGTGCGCAGGCCCCAGCCTCTGTCGGCCCTCCTCCAAGGCCGGCCGTAGGGGGAGCGCCTACCGTGTGCAGCGCAAGTATTCAGAGACATCGAGGTGCTGTGCAAACGCAGTCCCCGAGTACACAACATGCCTCCAGTCGAGGTGGCCCCCTAGACGGGGATGGAGATGATGGCTAGCCCTGGGTCGGCCGAGTGGGTTCGACAGGTGCACTTCTGTGATTCTGTTTTGGACACGCATGCCATCGAAGCAGGCAGTGGCAACCGTCCCCGCAATTTACCTTGCGCTCAATGTGGAAAGGCGTTTGCCTCCCACAAAGCCCTCCTTGAGCACTGCTGGGTTGCTCATAAGCAGCGTGTGCAGGCGCGCCTCTTTATCAACAACAGTGGCGTGTGCCCAGCGTGCAGCATGAACCTTGTCGAAAGATTCCGTGTCATACGACGCGTGACCCACAAGAGGCGTCCGCGGTGCCGAGAGTACATGTTGGCATCCTTGGATTCTCTCGACACCTCGCTCGTACAGACATGGGAGGATCGAGACAGGACCCGCGTCAGACAGGCCCGACAGCAAGGATCCACCCACATCTTGGCCTCCAGCTCAGCCAACGCAGCGGCTGGCAAGAGGATCGGCCGAGTGCAGCGCTAAAGCGCGTCATGCATGTATACTTGTTGCATCTCGGGACTCCCCTGTGGAAGCCTTGCCAAATAAACAACGCATGCTTATAATGAACGTGTAGAGAGGAGAGAGAGAGAGAGAGAGAGAGCGAGAGAAAGAGAGAGAGAGAGAGAGTGAAGACAGCAAGAGAGAGTGAGAGAGAGAGAGACAAACAGAGAGAGAGAGAGAGAACAAACGAGAGGCGTTGACATTGACATGCGCGTATACGGCTTCATACAGGTGTTTGCGTGCATTTAGATATGTTTGTGTATGTGTATATGTATGTATGCATGTATTTCGATTTAGACATGTCGAGAGAGAGAGGAGGCCTCGGCGCACACACATGTCGACACATGTATATGTACTTATATATAGATATATACGCACACACACACTCGTATATGTAATCGTATACCTATATATAGATGTATGCGGATCGATTCTTAGATAGTGTCTGGTCCGCATGGTGCATTGTGTTGACTTCTCTTTACAGCAGCGTCAGCACATTTTCCGTTGGTGTGACTGCCCCTTTTGCAGGAGTGCATTTCCGACGTGGTTGTGCGCCATGTTCGACACGCACGCTGAGGCCGCGATCGGAGCTAATTGTGTTATATTTGTTGAGAGAGATCCAGCCCAATCTCCACAGCCCATTGTTTCGCAGGGTTGCCTCGATCTTCACGCGGCCGTGACTAGATGTTTTGGCACCACCTCCTAAAGACTGGCGACCTGCATGCTCGCCTCCTGTGTTAGTCGACCTTCTCCTCTTCCTCCTCGTCGTCGTCCTTCTCCTCCTCCTCCTCCTCCTCTTCCTCCTCGTCCTCTACCTCCGTCCCCTCGCTCCCTCCCCGTACATGCGGACTCTTGCTGTTTTCAATACGGGGTCCCCAGAAGCGAGGAGGGAGGGGAGGGCATGGTTCGGATCCCAGGCCTTCGACGTCGTGGTTCTTGTCTCGTGGCCCCTCTCACGCTTTGACTACCTCCCCGGGGCCGGCTTTGTCGTCCCGCAGCCGTCTTCTGACGGCCCTTGGGCCGGGCGGGGGCCCTTCGAGGCCGAGAATGGGGAACTCTCCGCCCTGCTTTCTTCTCGACGCCAGGGGGTCTGGGAAAGAGGACGCGGGGGAAACGGGCATGATATAGGAATCACAGGAGGAGGAGGAGGAGGAGGAGGAGGAGGAGGAGGAGGAGGAGGAGGAGGAGGAGGAGGAGGAGGAGGTGGAGGAGGACCAGTGTGAACCCCAAATGTATCAACGATGTTGCAATAGTTGCTCCCTCCAATTTGCCTTGCGTAGATCCCAAGAATAATTGATTTTCATTGCGGGCAGTGCCTCATTGGCAGACAATTGTTTGAGAATCCTCAATTGTGCCAGAACGAAGTTCTTGGAATTTCAGCGTCGCGAGGTTCCTAAGTCTTGCCAGAACACCATCCCTGGGACTTCGACACAGCGAATCAACGCTACTGTTGCGTCCTGACAATCCTAGATCTTGCTAGAACACCGTTCCTGTGACTTCAGCCATACGATCTTTACAAGTGTTGCACGCGTTTGAAAAGAATGTGCATGGCTTTGAAGCGAGAGTCACATTTTGAACACCACCCACCTCCATCCGTGAAGCTGATGCATACTTTCAAACGATGTGCGCGGCGTTCACGCGAGAACCACATTTTGAAAAAGAACCGCCTTACATCCGCCAAAGTGTTGCATACTTTTGAAGCGACTGCGCGCGGCGTTACAGCGAGAGCCACATGTTGAAAATGGCCCGCCCTTCATCCGGGAACCAATTGCGAATCTCAAGCTTGAAGATCGAGAATTGCGAGTAAGTCTCCGGCGAAACGCCTGGCCCCCCATACCACCACGAGGGAGGATTTATCTGTAAGGAACAGGAGTGAGGATGAGGAGGACGAGGAGGAGGAGGAGGATGGGGAGGAGGAGAAGTAGGAGGAGGAGGAGGAGGAGGAGGAGGAGGAGGAGGAGAAAGAGGAAGAGGAGAATGGGAGGAGGAGGGGAGGAGGAGAGAGTCGGGAGAGTCGGGGTGACGCCGCACATCTTGAAGGACGCAGGGGCTACCCGCGGCGCGCCGTCGCGCGCGCCGCCCGAGCCCGCCAGAGGAGGACGACGAGGAAGCCGCCCTCCCCGAAGATCAGCGCGAAGATGCCAAACAGGGCCACGGCGAAGAGCGAGGCCTCCAGCACCTCCAACCTTACAAAATTCCACGCACCACCCTCTGCTGCATCACGTCTGCTTGCACTCCGCGCTCTTGATGGCATGTGCTGCCACGGGCGGCGCGGCGGCAGCAAGCTCGGCCGCGGACGCAGCGAAGCCGTTGAAGAAGGCTCCCGTGTCGACCCCCGCGACCTCCACAGAACCAGCGCCAGCGGCAGGGCAGTCACCCCCTGCAGGGGCCCGAGCATCGCCTCCGCCAGCGTCCAGCGGCTTGTCAGCAGCCCCATCGGC